CCACTCTCCTCTCCTCGCGTTCCTTACTTCCCCTCCCTTCCTTACTTCTTATATACCCGCTTTTGATATACATGATATTAATTCGCATTAATTCAATATTGTGATTCACTTATGCGTCGGAATGGAATGCCATGAGGAGGGGTGGGGCGGGGCGAGTCTCCTCCCCTCCTCCTTCTTTTCTTTTCTTTTTTTTTTTTTTCATCTGACGGCATTTCGTAAAATGAATATTATATTTGGAAGAATACGGCGTTTCATGTCGGTATATAAGAAGCGCATAGAATATTTTAATTAAATCCGAACCCCTCGGAGAATCTCGGCAAAAGGAAAGAAAGTATATAGTATATAGTGGGAGTATACTGCCTTGAGGAGATTTATTACCGTACTTGGAAAGACTAAAACGCGACCGAGTAAATAGCGAGGAACGTGGAGTTTATTCGATGCTGTTAAAAATTCTTTAAGCATTTTCCCCGGCTGGATAAATCTAACGTTCGAGAATTAATTAAAAAGATGTGCCTTTATCGTGATGTTAAATATGATGCGAGACGCCAAGCAAATACTTTTTTTTTTTTTTTCGTCTATTAACAGATATTTATTAACGTATATATAATATAAAATTATGAATAAGGGAAATGGTGCTGCTTCGATTGCAAAATTGTTTGATTAAAAATTGAAGCAAAATGTTATACTATTATTTGTTTGTATATTGTAAGCAATTTATGAATTTTATTTAAAAAAAATAATTATGAATTTATTTAATATTTAAAAGTTTTGTTTAAACTATCAAATTTACTGTCAAATTTTTTCAATCAAACGATAAAGATTTCGTATGTCNTATTTAATGAAGCAAAATGTTATACTATTATTTGCTTGTATATTGTAAGCAATTTATGAATTTTATTTAATCGTTTTGTTTAAACTACGTCAAATTTTTTTAATCAAACGATAAAGATTTCGTATGTCTCTAAAAATTCACAATAAAATATTTAATCAAAGAGATTTCGATTTAATTTCATCGAGTTAAATTTCAATAGTTTTAATAGTTTCATTTTCACCCACACGATAATTACAATTGAACGATTTAAAGGTATATATATACACATACAACTAAAATGACCAATAAAGCTTAAATAATTCAAAATTAATTGCAATACGTATAATTAATCTTCCAAATCTGTGAAATTTAAATAACCAAGGATAATATTTCGTTTAAACGCACGCAGGTATATTATTCAGAAAAGTGGATATATAATCCTTGATTCAATGATCAAGGACTTGTACTACCTGCTTCATTCCCCGAAAGATAATCGATAATCATTACTGTTCATTTCTCGCGTAAACATAAACGCAAAAACACGTATAATAACATCTAATTTTTCTCTCGTACATTTTACGAGATTATCTCTACATTTTTCTTTTATCCAATTCGAATCGACCGATTTCTAAATATGCAATTATCCGACTTAAGTTATTTCAACGCGAGGACGTTAATCATTCGCTCATTCGGAACCCGTTGGCAACTATTCGCAGATCTATTAAGAATTCAGATGCGCGGATACAAATTGCCGTACGCGCAATCATATCCCTCGCGGACAACCGTCTCGCTGTTTCGTATCGAGTAATTCGCTTTCTCGCTCTCCCTCTAAAAATATCGACCGTGGTGTATCGGTTACAAAACACGAAGCAAAGAAGCGCGATGCGAATAGTCGACTACACGACCCTGGAATTAATGATCCGGGGGCCTCGTTAACATAGCCAACAAAATTGTTATTAAATTGACCGGCTTTATTTGGTTTCGTCGCGGGCAGCAGTTAATTAGGTGACTGAGACAAATGGCGTCGTGCTCTTTCCTCACTTCGTAAATCCGTTACCGCTCATTTTCTCTCTCTCTCTCTCTCTCTTTCTTGAAATTCTAAGTCCCCCCTCTCGAACGTTTTGTATTTTGCAAAAAGTTCGCCGAACTACCGGCTTCAGGGAAAAGAGAGGATCCTCTGGTGGCGCCATTACAACGATTTACGGCATCGCTTTTCCACGGTCGTTATGCTCGTGACATTCGTCGATCGTAATTTTCCTCGCTAATGCGTTTAGGCATCGAATCGTGTTTTTCTCTCTCTTTCTCTCTCTCTCTCTCTCTCTCTTTCTGTTGACGTATCTTGTCAATCCCATCGACTATCGGAAATAAAACTTCCTACGCGAGGTTGTTAATTCTTTCTTCCCGAGATCGGGATACGAGTTTCTTGGAATAGCTCTGCACGCGCGTTTAACGTTTCGATGATATTGAACGAAGAGAGAGGAGTATGTATATATATATATATACTGAATATAGACTGAATTCACGCGAGTTTCTTTCTCGATTTCTTTTCATTATTTGATAACTTATGTTGCTTTTGATGTACACAGGGCAGCTTTCTCCTCCAACCGCTTGTATTCGATAAAATATGCTTCTCGCTCGAATGATTAATTAATAATTTCGCGGATTGAAAGAGCATATTTAGCTTTGGAGTTATATTTTAACGGGTTTCTCGAGGATTTCGTTACACGATCCCGAAATGGCAGATACATATCTTCCTAATTATACATGTAACGTATAATTTTTTATATCAAGAATCGATAACTTCCAATTTTAATTTATTTTACGTGATTCGTGATCATGAAACGAAACGAAACCGTTTGATCTGCGATTATTCGCTCTGGATAATATTGTTTCAAATAACGAGCAGGAAGCCTGTTCATCGAATGAAAAAGAACGTTGAACGATTTATTTTTCGAGCAATGATTGTTAGAAACAAGTAAATGGGTATCGGCGCGAAACAGAAGGAAACAGTAGGGAGCAGAAGTGTAGATTGTGTTGATTTCCATCACGATGGAAATTTCTCATAGGCGCAAAGAAACATCGAAGACAGGTGAAGCAATAACACGTGTAACGGGGAGGAGAACGGCGGCAATGGCGGCAAAAAAACAAAAGCTGCGGATAATTCCCGGCTGTAATTATTTGCACAAAGGAATAACGAAAATTCTACGGTCGCGTTGACAATTAACAGAAGCTCTACGTCAAATAGATTTGTTTTTCCACGGCCATTAGTAAGGTTACACCGGAACATTTCCCTTAATCCGTGTTTACGGAGGGTCGGGGCTATGGTATATATACGTTCCCTCTATCTCTCCGTTAAGAAACGAGAAGCTTACCAGACGCTGCATTTTTTTCGTAAACGAGTCAGGATAACGGCGCGAGTCACGCGTAAGAAACCGCGCTAAAATGTTGTATCTTACGTTGACAACGTACGATAACATTCTTGGTATAGTAACAAGTCCATTCGACTTTCTATCTAGATAGCATCTGGCTGTACAGAAATAATGACTAGATTTCGTGATTATACTTGTTTGAAAAACGATATTTGATATTTAAAATGAAAATCGAAAAAAAAAAAAATTCTGAATGAATTATTTACTTTTGCGAAAAACTTTCATTTACTAATATTTATATATAGAATTTTATATGTATATTGATTTGGGAAAAAGTAATTATATTTGCAATGGAATAATTATAATGGAGACTCATTTTATTTGCGTATGCATATATATATATATATTACAATAAATTTTTTTTAATCTTTTTAATCTCCTTATAATTTATAACGAAGATATTCTTTTTATCTAGTGCGTGTAAAATGCAAAGATAAATTAAGAATAATTCTTGTTATATCAAAGTAATATTATTTGAAAAAGATACAAGATCGGAGAAAAAATATCATAAGGGAATTAAAAACAAGATTGAAAGAAGTTGTGAAAGAAGTGCAATAAAATAATCAAAAGAATTAAGATTGTATTGGATTTTCTACAAAAACATTTGGAAATATTCTCTTTTTCTTTTGTATATCTTTCTCCATTGGTTTCACCATTTATAATTTTTATACTATGAACATTGTAAATTTATATGAATAGAATAGTTTATGAAATGTGAAAAGAAGACTTAAAGAATTTATAATAAAAAATTTTAAATTTAAAATTCAATATTAATTAAGTTTGAATCATCTCAATGTATATTATAAATCCTTAAAATTATAAATTCACATTTATTTAAATTCATATATGTGAACAACTATCAAAAATATAACTTACCTATAAAGTGCGTAATGTCACATGATGCAATTAATGTTCAACACTACTCACATATCACTTAATACTGTTCTTTGCGAATTTTCAAAATTTTAAATTGCTATTTCTCGTTCTGTATTATAAGATTTTTATTTCTTTTGTACGATAACTCTGTAGAATATAAGAATATAACGATAGATCGCGTCAAACGGTATGGGATGATGGCGAACACTTGCGATGACAGCGACAGCAAAGACGAAAATTTAAAATCTGCTTCCCCCCACTCGATTAGAAGGCAAAGCATGAAGGGGAAGCGGGCCGAAAGGACGACGTAACGCGTGTGCGCGGAAGTGTGGCGCGCGCGGAAGGATGGCTGGCCGCGAGGAAAAGAGGGTGAGCACCACAGGTGGTGGGCGTCCCGACGTCATGAGCGCCGCTGCACAACGCGACAAACAACTAAACGTGGCCGTCGACGAAAATCCGTCTCACCGTGTGTTCATCCATCCGTCGGTGGTACAACGCGTTTGTCACGAACCGAAGGCAAGGAACGATCATCAGTTTCGACCACGTCTTCGTCGTACGCGCTCGTTCTCTCGGTTGATTCTAACTTCTCTTTCTTTCTCTCTCTCTCTCTTTCTCTCTTTCTTCCTAGCGTACGCGCATTAAACTATATATACACAGTATACACACGTAAAGTAATACACGACCTATATATCTCTCTCTTTCTATACGTAGCCTACTATTACTACGTGCACGCGCACTGATCTATCTATCTCCTTCCCTTTCCGGCATCCCCTTCTTCTCTCTTTCTCCGACCTTCCGTCCTTACCCCTCTCACATGCCCCGTCGGATCGTTTCGACGAGATACCGCGCAGTGGCGCAGTCGTCGCCACGAGAGCGACGTGCTCTCCGTCGGTGGTCATGAATCGTGCGGCGGAAGAGGTCCTCGCGAGCCGGCTGCCGCCGTCGTCGTCGTAGTCGTGTAGTCCTAGTCATCGTCGCCGCGCCGTTATGTTAGTCCTTATCGTCGCGCGGTATTCGAGTTTGTGAATCTTTGTAATCGTGTTTCATAGTTTTGTCAATGGTCGTCGTGATGGTGATCGTGTGGTACATGGGATCCCTTTGATCGTCTCGCGTGTGGTCGATTCGAGCGCGACTGTACCGATCGAACTCCGGCGGTGTTGTTGCGTTTACCGTGTGACGATCGACAGTGGTGTTTTGCAAGTAAGAAATGGGCTTTGGTAGGCGCGTGCCGCGTCGCAGTGAACGTTGCGTCGCTGATCGCCGACAGCGGCGCCATAACGGGGCGCGTTCGCACGCGATCACAGTGTGAGACGAGAAAAAAAAGAAGAAAAAAGAAGAAATAGGTGCGGAAGCTGGTTACACGCCGATCAAGGAGGAAGAGAGTCTTCTTTTGCTTGTTTTGGTTTTTTGTTCAATCAGTGTCGTGATTATCGCCGCGTGTAAGCACGGTCGTACGGAGATTGTGCTGTGCCCACAGAGGAAGAACGAGAGCGCGCCGAGGGCTGAAAATGTGAGAAAACTTATTGTTCCGGCTGGTTGGCGGGACACCGGACGATTTCGTTGACAAGGTAATGTGATACGGCTGACCGAACGTTTTTACGCGCCAAATGAACGCGGCACGGCTCGTGTCGCGTGATTTACGCATTGTACGCGCGCAAACGCGACACATTTCAGTGAAACGTGTGCACGTTAATTATACGATTGTGGACTCTACCTCTTCTCGTGCAATCGTTTTTTTTCGCGACTCATGTTTAGTATCGGTGTATAGCATTGTTCACGCGAATTTTTCATCGCAATTTCCCGTGGAAATGTCGCAGAGATTCGTCGAAATGGCCAATCCATTGTCGATATCGATTAACGTAATGGTCGATCTCGCGTTAAATAGTGATCGATCGTAATATCACTTGACACGATTTCGCTTGGAAAATAAGGACCTTATAATACGTTGCGCGATGACAGATGTAGGTTGGAGTATATAATCTTAGAAAGTCTTAATACTTATCAACATCATACATATATTTTAATATATATATTTATATTAATTATAAATGTTTCGATATATATATATATATATTTTAAAAATGGCCGTCGTATCGATATTTATCGACTCTATTTGACTATTCCTATTAAGTATTTCAAATTATATCGTCGTAATCAGATAATTCATACTTCAAGAAATAAAAATACTTTTGATATTTCAGGAAAAATTCTAGTATATATAAAATTAAACCACACGTGTTAAAAATTTTTCCATATCTTCTTTCGAACTTAAAAAAAAATTCTTAATTTAAGAAAAAAGAATAAAATTAAATATTCTGAAACGAATTTTATAATTCTCTGGAGCTCGAAATGAGTCGATTCGTTTTACTTATTTCAAATCGTAATATCGTATCGCTTTTCTTTTCTGAAAAGTCGATATCGAGCCGAGCGTGTTCGAATAAGCGGGAAGTGATTAATCGAACGCTCGTTCCGCGGTTCGACGGCGCGTAACAACGAAACTCGCTTTCCACCAGCACCAGCAGTAGCTCTGGCTCTCCGTGAAAGCGCAAAACCATGGAACGAGAATAAAGAGACTCCGTGAGTAGCAACGGCTAGTCGTCCCTGGCGGATTTACTGTTTACGCTGTTTTCCGGTGGCGCGAACGCCCACGTATAGTAAAATTTCGAGACGTTCTTTTCGTGACTCGTGTCTTTTTCAGATCGATACGGAGTCAAGGTTGCCAGTTGTAGAGCGGCACGTAAAAATAATAACGCGCCTCGACCGGGAACGAGAGAAAAAAAGAGCGAGAGAAAGAGGGCCGAGAGGTAGAAATGGATAGACGGGAGGGGAGAGGGGAGGGGCGGGGGGGAGAAAAGGTGGAAACAAAAAGGGAACGAGGCGGAACGTTTCACGCTCCCTGTTGCTCCGTACATTGTTCCATATTTGTCCGGCTTCGGTGACCCTATCGGAAAAGCGCTATAAATAGAGAACGATTTCCAATTTTACACAGAAAGGCAGGCAACGCACCAACTGCAGACGAGATGCGACTACTCGAGTGCGCCAGACGTTTCCTTTCGTAATTAGGTCAATCTGTACCTAATGAGACGTTACTCGCGCGTACCTCTACAACCGTTTCGCCTCATTTCAGGCTGGCGAGATTCGTCCCCTCGGATCGAAAGATTTTAATTAAAGGTTCGCCATTCGAGATTCGGCGACGAGCGTGCGTCGCGATGCCATCGGCTTCCCAATAATCTTCGCGCTCTCGTTTTCGAGAGGTGTACAGCCGGCCTCCTCTCTTCGAGGGGAGAGAAGAAGAGACGAATAGGCAAAGCGCAACGAGGTCGAGGTTCGAGGAGACACGATGTCGTTTCGTTGAATATGGCAGATCTTCGTTTAATTTGTCGATAATGTTGGTAATTGATTTATTGATAAATATCGATGGATATTGATGCGGAGATAGAGTTGTCAGGATAGGAGATAGATACGATATAAATAGTTGTTTAGGATGACAATAGTGGGTATTGTTTGTCGAGAAAACAAATGCTGAGTAAACATTAAGTGACGTCATTTATTTTGCGCAATTTATTTAACGTCGTGGGCTCGTCGTTCTAAAGATAATAAAAGTTGTACTAATTTTGGTGGCTATGTAGAGATGTTGGTGGTTTATAGAAACACGTAAGGTTTTATGTAAAAGGGGAAAGGATCGGAAGAGATAAAAGTTCAAGTTTTTCTTATTTTTCTTCTTATTCGTATATCTCGTACGAAATATCTCTATTCTCGGAAGAATTCGTTCCTGTGAATAAATTTGTACAATACATTTTTCATTAATGACTAATTCTTACAATACATTTTGAAAATATACATTACAATTATCCATAAATAATTCATTCACAATACAATGGAACGTCGATTATTCGAAATTTAGTTGTTCAAACAATCGAACAGCGAATGAATATTAAGTATTATGATGATATTTAAACCAGCATATCTAACAATGTTTACATTCATTTTTTTTTTTTTTTAAATGAATTTCTCTTACTTTTCATGTATTCTTTTAATAAACATCTGTACTTAAAAATTATTTAAATTTTTTTAAATTATATCTATAAATATATATGATTTTTCTCGATAAACAAATTTGTCAATTGTTAATCGACGTTCTTATTATAATCATAACCTCAATACCTCTTAATAACTACTTTTCACTCCCAAAGTCATTTATATACACATACGTTGAAAATATTTTCGAGTTGTTACTTATAAATAGATGATTCCGTTGTGTCCATAATTTGAACTGGAGATCACCGACCACTGAATTATTACGGAATATCAGTCATCCGTGTCGCAATCACGGGCCCGGTATTAGTTGCATTCTTCATTCAGTGAGCGCATCAACGACTTCCTCGTCGGTGGCGTGTATTTGCGCGCGTGGCGCTTTAAAATAGTCACCGGTAAATATACACACCAGCGGGGGAACACTTTTATTTATCGCGGCTACTACGTGCCGTTTCTGATTGACGGGCATTAGCTGCGGCCACTCGAACATTCGTACACGGCTGCCGTGTCGAAACGAATTGAAACGTCGCCGAATATTTACGGGGAATTTCCGCTGCCGCGAAGAAATCGCGAAATTCCGATGGAGGCGAATCGAGAAGATTTCAGATCAAATCACTGACTGACGTGTTAATAAGATTACCTATCGAGTAATTTAAAACCGCTTGGTTGAATAATATATGGAAATTTCGATTGCCGAACGACTTGAAAAAAAAAAGATTTTGCTTTTCAAAAAAATATTCTTCTCGTAACTTACGTAACTGTGTAATCGATGACTTTTATGTTGACTCATAATAGAAAGAGAGAGAGAGATAGAGAGAGGAGAAAAGTAAGCAGTCGATGCGATGTCTGACAATTTTGGCTGAATCTACTGTTCTTGATGTAATATTAAGATGTAGAATTCTTTGATATTTTCAAGGAAAGCATTTTGATTTTATTACGATTTATGGAAATTTTATAATTTCCCAATTTTCTAATTCCATATTATTTACAATTGTAATATGTTGTTAGAAAGAGAGAGAGAGAGAGAGAGAGAGAGAGAGAGAGAGAGAGAGAGAAAAGTAAGCAGTCGATGCGATGTCTGACAATTTTGGCTGAATCTACTGTTCTTGCTGTAATATTAAGATGTCGAATTCTTTGATATTTTCAAGGAAAGCATTTTGATTTTATTACGATTTATGGAAATTTTATAATTTCCTAATTTTCTAATTCCATATTATTTACAATTGTAATATGTTGTTTATTTTCATAGATCATATTACTGATTTAAATTTGACTCGCTGTGTATCGAAAAAGGTCAAAGGGATTAAATTTTCAAAGCAATCATTGTTACGTGAAGCAATATATATATATATATAAATTTTCTTCCGATATACAAAGATAATAATTTCAAGTTGAATCCAAGTTAAGATAAATTTGTATCGGGATAGGTAATAATGTTTGCAATTTATTAACTGCATCTTATATTCATTCATCTTCAACTGTATAACTTAAGAAAGCATCGAAGCATGTATACTCAGGTTATTTTTGCTATTGGCAAGAGTATTATTATCGTACTATAATACATTTTCGTTTATATATTTTTTCTTCTCTAATTCGAGATTATTTACGATTCCAGTAAAATTAACACTAATATTATATTTTCCTTTATTCTTGCTATACCATATCATTTATTGCATAATCTTTGGCAGAGACAGATTATAGCAGTGTTCAAGTTCTGGAACTTACTCGTAGAAGGATTCATTAAAGGCGAGGCTTGCTTCGCGTGGTGAAGTAAAAGTCTAATTTTTTTACATCGATTTTTTTTTAATATCCTTTTTTTTTAAATACATTTATTAATTTTTTATCAAAAGCTCGATCCCTTTTCCGTTTGAAAGTATTACGTACTATAGATGTTTATTTTTTTTACTCGACAGCGAGATATTTCCCCTTTCATTCCTCTCCAATAAATCGTGCAATTATTTGCCCTGCAACTCTCTCTCTGCGGAATGGATCAACGTCTCTTCGTTAAACCGGTCGTTTTCTATTCATGAGATACAGTTTATAACTCATTCTATTTTCTTATCTCGATATACCCGCCTGAATACGTTACATATACGATACATTTCAGGAATTGGTAGCATATATGTACATGTTGTAATGAAGCGTCGCATGTGAACACGATATTGTTCGCGGAAATGTATTGTAGTTTCTCCAAGTACATTTTATCCTTTAAGAATTGCCATGAATTAGAGGAAATTGATTCGTAACGAATCATTATTAATTTTGACAATTGATGATGACAAATTCGTATGCGCATAACATCTCTCTTTAATGAAAAAAAACTAACTGAGAAATGTTAAATCAACATAAAGAAATAAAGGTATAATAATTTTAATATCGTCATTATTATTAATTACAAATTTATAATTACGAAGCAATATTACATTATTTGATTGACGTCAATGTAATCGAAAAATATACTCTATTAATTATTCATTCTGCTTATCTCTCTATCATCATTCGCTTTCTCTAACGTTATCCTTTAACGATGTTT